CCCCCAGCTCCTAGCATGCGACCTGGCATCTTACAGGGGTGGAGTAAATGTGTTGTGTTGGATGAATAAATGCATGAACTCCCAGTGCACAAGAGCAAGGAGTGGTTTACTCGAGGGCCAGTTGTCCAAACACCTGGTTGTCCCCACTCCCCCCCTCCCCGCCACAGAGAACCCAGCTTTTCTCTATCCTCTCCTCAACCCCTGTCCCCAGAGAGCAGAGAATATCCCAAATAAAGTGATCGTACAAAACTGGGTGAACGTCATGAAAAAGAGTCAAGGACTTAGAATGCTCCCCTAAGATAGGTTCTGTTCTCAGTGAAGCAAAAACTCCTCTCTGGGTCCAGGGCGATGTCCCTTTTGACCCTCCTTTGGGCCTGTCTTTCTCTGAGTGCTGCTCCTCTCCCATCTCTCCATGGGTCCTTGGTGTTTCAACCTCTTTGCTTTCTCCATATTGTGGGCTGATTCAATAACTAGGATCCCCTCCCCTCCCCAACCCCCCCCCACACACACACACACAGACTGGCCTCTCTGACCCTGATCTCCAGAGGGACGCACAGCATCTCGCAGAGTGTCCCGGCCTGAGCAGATGTGCACAGACAACAGACAGCAAGCAAGGATGTAGGTACATATGTCCGCAGAGTCACCTGTGAGCACTGTTTCCTGAGGCTACTGGAATGGATCTGCAGACATTGTACGGTACTCTTGTTCTGTAAGAATGCTATGCACTTGAGCAACACTGGCATTTTATTATTCTCAGGAGACTTTGGCACAAATAAATGAAAATACCTGTCTCCACGGATGCATTTTCTGTGAAAAGTAAATTTGTGAGGCATTGCCTTGGCTGACCCCTAGGCCCCCTCAACCACACATATGAAATGGGTCACATTTTCAAGTTAACCAGCAATGAAAACTGGAAAGCATCCTGCCCCCCCCCCCTTTTATCTTTCTATACCTGTGACGTATAACACAAGTGTGCGACAGACGGTGAATTCAGTGGAGGAGAAAGGACAGGCAGAGGAAGAATATGAAAAGGTGTTATAATATGTCTCAATACTTGGCTACAGCTGATTCACTTTTTACCAAAAGCACAGTGGATTTATCCAACTACCTCATGATATATAGCAAAGAGGAAAAGTAAAAGAGGGGTGAAAAGAAGACTGGAAAAAGATGTGCCCAGCACAGTGATCTAAAGAGAGTGGGTGCCTAATAAATAGGCACTGAACAGATTAGAGGTGATAAAGTCGGCTCAGCGAGAGTGTCCCCCGCACCCCAGATAAGGAAATGCCCACCCTGGGGTCCTGGGTTAGCCTGCTCATCACCTCCTGATCTGCGATGACAACCATCTCTTCCACCGGCTCAGCGTTTCCCAGGAATCAGAACACGTCCACAGATACAATCTCATTTGGACTTCAAAACACAGATGGGGAAGTTGAGATTTTTAATTGTATTTTACAAACAAGGAAGCTGAGGCTCAAAGCGATAAAGTGACTGACCCGAAGTCCCAAAGTGATGCTTCTAGGACTAGAACCCAGTTATCCCGACTCTCAGGCCAGGATGACTCCCAGCTCTGGCTATATCTCCTGAAACTTTGTTTTGAATTCAACTCTCCATGTGGCCCCACACTGGACGTTGTCCTAGGGCTGACCTGGCATGGCTCCTGACATCACTGCTGGACTTGTTAGAGCACGCATGTCATGAGGCTTGTAGAGCTGCGTCCAGAAATAGGCACATTCATTTTAGCTCAGGAGAGCCTCTTTGTATACCAAAAGCCACCACCCTATGACCTCCCTTCTGGAATGACCTCCCAACCGGAGTCTGTCAAATGCACCTTGTGATACAGTGGGGAAGTTACTGGACTTGGAGGCAAAACACCCAAACATGAGCTCTGGTTCTTTTCTAGCTAAGTAACTCTTGGCAAGTTATTTCACCTCCTTAAACTCCAGTTTCTTTATCTGCAAAACACAGGTAAGAGTACACACCATTCAGTGTTGTTGGCAGGATTAAATGAGATCTCTTTTATAAGGACCTACTTACTAGGTGCTCAACAAATGCTGCCTCTCGCTCTAATCCATCCATTCCTCTTCCCTGCCTTTTCTTCTTTCCTCTTTGATACAGTTTATCATGCGCTGCCCTCCCAGAATTATCTTTCTGGAACTCCATTTGCATCGGGTTGCTGCCTTGATCACAAATCTCAAATGACTTCTCATCACCAGGTCCAGTTGCCTCTCCATGTGCCGTGCAGGACCCCCAGCTACTGGCCCCACCTTCCTCTCCATGTTTCATCTCCTACTGCTTGGAAACACGCACGTTCTGGTTGTGGGTTGCCACTCATGCTTACATGTTCCTCTCTGTTTTGCTTCTGTTGTCTCACCCTCCTGGAATGCCCTTTCTGGCTTTCCATCCCTGGAGGTGTCCCTCACAACTTTCTCGTCTCTGATTTCCAATTTCACTATGTCTTCAGGTCATTTCCTGTGTCTGTATCTGTTTCTTATCAATGTCACTGTCTGTTCCTCTAGGACAGACCAAGGCCCTTCACTTCTTTGAGTTCCCACTGGGCCAGCAGCGAGAGTGGGGACCCAGGATGAGTTCTGGACTCATGCCTCCAGGCCTGGGTCCAAATCCTAGGCCTCGCCCTTCGTAGCTATTGTGATTTAGGGGATCTTATTTTTCTCAGCTGTACAATGTATAATTTAACTTTTTCACCAGAAGTTGCTTTTTTTTAAAAAAATGTACTTTTCCACTGAAGTAATATTTATTGAGCACCTAATATGTGCCAGGCCTATGCTTTTTGACACATATGAGCTCATCTAATACTCATAATCTCAGTGTGGTAACCTCAGCTCTGGAAGCACATATCCTAGCATGAAGGTCATGGAGATTAAATAAATTAATTAAGATTGCACATGAGGTTGCATCATTCTTGACAAATAGGAGATGCTCAGCAAGTCTTTGCTGAATCTGAGTATTAGGTTCTCAATAAACTGAATGTAATTGACTGGCTCATAGACAGTACTGAAGATATAGCAGTGAGAAGAGCAGAAGTTTCCCTTTTCTCATGGAGCATTCGGTCCAGCAAAAGGATAAGTTTGACATTAAATGAATAATGAAAATTGTCATGTGGAGTTTTATAAGGGGACCTAATGCGGGGTACAGTCCTGGGGTTGACTTCTCTGAGGAAAATACTGAGCTCATAGGTGAAAGATCTGAGGACGATGGGCATTTCATGCAGCCAAAACAATAGGTGCAAAGGTCCTGAGGCAGGAAAACACAGAGCCGTTTTCAAGAATGTGAGCTAAGCTTGGTGAGCAGTGAGGAAAGTGGGGCAAGGTGAGGCTGACGTAGGGTGTTCTAGGACATGCGGAGCCTGGCAGGTCAGGCTGAGGAATTTGGACTTGCTGCACAGCGAGGGACCACTGGGAGTCTTAGTTAGGCCAGGGGAGTGACATGACCAGGGTTGTGTTTTTCAAAACTCATTCTGGCTGCTGTGTGAAGACTGGATAAAAGGACAAGGGTGGATTCAGGAGAGGAAAATAGAGTTAAAGAAACCCTGATGCCTCAGGCACTCCCAACATGAACCCCAAAGCGTCTATGAGCATGAGAGCTGACTTCAGGGGCTGGTGCTCAGAAGAGCAGAAGCAGCCTCCTGTCCTGAGCGCCCTCTCCTTCTTGTCCACACTCCCTTCTCAGTGAGAAAGTCTGCTTTAGGGTGGTGTTGGAAAAAAGAACCACAGCCACCACCCCATTCTGAAGTGCGGGCTAAGCCACAAACTGGTTTGAGCCTGTCAGTTCGGAGCTGGCTGCAAAGCAAAGACCCACCTGGCCTGGCTCGGAGTGGCCGCTCCACATTCTTGTACCCACACCCACCCTGAGGAGGCCAGTGTAGAGGCAGGGCCCTCCTCCACCCCTCCCTACCCAGACAGCTGGCAGTGGTCCAGCCTCCACTTATATAATCCAAGCCCAGGGCATGGCTCCATTCTCTTGTTTGGGGCTGAGTGGCTTCTGGAGGTGACATCTGGAATGGAGATGTGGAAATAACCAGTTTCTAGGCCTGGTAGTTCTGATGGTCTAAACATTGGGCATATCCACAGTTCAAACACCCCAGGCTCAGGTGGATCTCCCAACACTCCTTGCTCAGTGTATAACTTACAGGGGAAAAAGAAGACCAAAGTGAAGGTACTTAGAAAAGTTAAAATCACAATACCAATGTAAAAAGTATTAACAACAATATGAATAGGAACAAGAACAGTCATGAGAACCTTATGTCCATGGGGTCTCAGCTATGGCTGACAGAGCACTGAGAATCCTTTAACTAGAACTCCAAAAGTAGTGCTCCAACAACAGGGTTGATGGTTCCACCCCCGATCTGCCCTCCTGGCCCTAACCCACTGTAGTGGAGGCTGGGGCAGGGGCTCGGCCCCTCTCACAGTGATGCTGCACTAGATTAGGGCAGCTTCCACATGGTACTGAGCATGAGGGCTAGACCACTTCTCTCTCAACTGAGAAACATTCATCCTGAAACTCCAGCTGCCTAAAGTAGGTGCAAAAGTCCTTAGGGCAAAGGGGCAGAAATAGTTATCAGCTCAGAAATGGCAGTTGCAACTGTCCTAGGCAGAGGCCAGAAATTGAGACAATTCAGTGCCCAGAGGTCAGATAAAAGTTCAGAACTACAGCCAACCAGAGAACAAAATACAATGTAGCCACCTGAGCCTTCTAAGTCCTAACCTTGCTCCTCCACCAGGACGCCCTTCTCCCAAGCTTTTCTTTGTGTGACCACCTTTCACTCCTCCACCCCCTACCCCGCCACCCGGGGCTCTGGCGCTGTAGGAAAACTCATGACTTTAAGCGTAAGGAATTAATCTCTAAGAACATGTACCTCCCACCAGGCACAAACTTGTCATCTGACAAAATTACATTGGTTGCCTCAATGCAGTGAGGGAGGGCATTCCAAAGAAATCACAGGGAAGAGGGAAAAGCATCTTTTGCAAGGTTTGGGTCCCTGTTGAAAATTTTTGAGAGGAGTCTCAGGGAAGTGGGATTCAGTTTTGAACTGACTGCTGTGCCTGACGCAGGATTAGGGCATGTGGAAATTAACTACGGATTGGAAACTATCATGAGTCGATGGCCATTAAGCAATTGGGTCTCTCCGATAATAGATGGGTAGAGCAAAGCAGCCTGGGAGCATCTTTGGTAAGAAAGACGTGGTGATTCAAAGAGGAAGGGGGGGTCTTTATTCTTTATGACATTTTACATCTGCAGCATGACTTCTGAGAGAAATATTGTTTTCTATTGATTTTAAAGCTGGTTTTATCTGTTTCTGTCCTCCCGACTTGATTAAGGGCAGAGCTAGCTGCTCTTTTACTTTTTTTTTTTCCTTAGTTAAAGTTTATTGGGGTGACATGCTTTTTTACTTTTCATTCTGAGCTGACTTTTACTTTTTTGGTTTGGGATCAAAGTTTTAGTCTTTCACCTCCACCATTAATGATAGGGTCTTCAGGTTTGATGTCTATCTATCTCTCAATCATCTATCCGTATATGTCACATGATGTTTAGAGGCATAGCTCCTGGAGTCAGACTGCCTGGCTCTGCCACTTGCTTGCCTCTGAGGACTTTGACAAGTTATTTATCATCTATGTCTCTCAGTTTCCTCATCTGTAAAGTAGGAAAAAATAAGAGTGCTTGCCTCATTGGATTGTTGTGGAAATTAACAAAATAATACATGCCAAGTTCTTAGAGCCCTTAGTTAGTGTTCAATAAACACTAGTTCTTCTTCTTCTTCTTCTTCTTCTTCTTCTTCTTCTTCTTATTATTATTATTATTATTATTACTATTATTATTATTTTTAATGTAACCTAACTTCTGATTAAAGATGACAGGTTTACTGCATGTATTTTCTCCTCTCTCTTCAAAGACCACTCTAAATAACAATAATTAAAACGTATAAACTGAGCAATGAAGAGACCAGTAGAGAGGTTATCAGCAGATGGGTGAAGTCAATAAAATACGGGTAAGAAATGAGCAGATGGAGTAGTGACAGCTGCTGAGACTGAGAACAGGAACCCAGAGCCTGGAAGAGAGAGTACCTGGGCAGAGATAGAACAGAGGAGGGGCTGCCATGCTCTGCCGAACCCCGTGGACTTGGGCCTAGGAAACGCCCCGTGGAATGAAGCCAGGAGTTAGACATGAGCTTGGAAGGGGGATTTGCTGAAATCCTGCACACAGAGCAGTGCATGCTACCCAAAGCCCTTGCTCAAAACACACAGCAGCCACGTACCAACCTCCCCAGGACAACAAGACAACAATCCCAAACCAGAAACAAACAAAAACCCCCAAACAAAAATACAATAAAGGGCTTTTTCCCTTGAGAAACGAAATGGTCCCAGAGAAAAGATACTCCCAAAATTGCATTTAGATGTCCCTCAGCACAACTGCTGGCTCCCCACACAACCCCAGCCTTAAGCAAAGCAAGTACATGCACATGATGCTCCCAAGCTGTTTTAAAATACGAATAGGCAGCCAAGGATAACCAGGTATCTTAGAAGAGGCACAGGAGAGAGAGAGAGAGAGAGTTGTAAACAGATGGGTAATTTAGAGAAAAGAGAATTACTCAAACTAATATCCTCAGAGATATTTACTACATCCACCATAAAAAAACAAACAAACAAAAAAACAGGCCACAAACTAAACATCAAGTGTAAGGATAGGAAAGGGGACTTAATTTTTAGAAATTATGAAATTTACACATAAATGAGTATGTATACATCTACATAGATATAAATGATGTAATATATATATATATATATATGCACACACACACACACACACACACACACACACACATATAGCAGAGAGAATTGAAACTCACTTTAAAAGATACATCTCTTTATGGTATACTTTGATAAATACCATGTCTGCCAATTACGTTCACGAACTCATCCTAGAAAAAGTGCTACATACCTCATTGCTGAATATCACTATGGTCACCTTCAAAGTACTCCCCTTGGAAGCTATACATCAACACCAGTGCCTAGTCCACCCTTCAAAGCAGTTTTGGAACTCTTTTTCTGGAATGGCTATCAGAGCTGTCGTCGTATTACCCTTGATGCCCTGACTGTCATCAAAATGTCTTCCTTTCAATATTTCCTTTATCTTCGGGTAATGAAAAAAGTCATTGGGGGCCAGGTCAGGCGAGTCAGGAGGGTGTTCCAATACAGTTATTTGTTGACTGGCTAAAAACTCCCTCACAGACAGTGCCATGTGAGCTGGTGCATTGTCATGATGTAAGAACCATGAATTGTTGGCGAAAAGTTCAGGTAGTTTCATCTTTTTCATGCAGCCTTTTCAGCACTTCCAAATTGTAAAGCTGGTCAGACCACAGTAGTTTCAAAGTATTCAATGTATTCAAATATACACAATGTATTAATGTATTCAAATGCATCCATCTTTTCCTTTAGTTTGATATTAGTGTCTTGTTACAAAAACACAAATCTCCTTGAAGTCATGAAATTCCTCTCATATATTTCTTGTAAATGTTTAATATTTTTATATTTAAGTTCTTAATCCATCTGGAATTTACTTTTGTGTATGGTGTAATTAGGGTCTTGATTTTTTTCCCCACATGGGTAAATAAAGAGCAATGTCACCCCTCTCATATATCAAGTTTTCATCTATGAGTGGAATTCTCATATTTTGTTCCATCAATCTGTCTATCCTCTCCTAATATGACACTGTTTTAATTACTCTAGTTTTATAATAAATTGTGATATCGGAGAAAACATGCTGTCCCATTCCCATCGAGAAAGTTGTGCTTCTTCAGGAGGATTTTGGATATTCTTGGCTGTTTGTGCTTCAAATAGAGTAAGCTTATCACATTCCATTGAAAACCATGTTAAGCTTTTAATTGGCATTTCTTTAATGCTATAGATCAAAATGAAGAAAATGTACATATTTACAAAATTATCTTCCTTTCCCAAAAATACATGGTGTCTCTCTATTTATTTAGGTCTTCTCTAATAGCTTTCAAAAAAGTCATTATAATTTTCTATGTGAAGGACTTGCATATTTTAGAGTCATTCCAAGATACAGGTTTTTTTCCCCTGCTTTTATAACTGGAAATTTGCAATTATATCTTTCTGTTTATTACTGACATAAAAAATAAAATTAACTTTTGTGTACTGATTTTATACTTGGCAACTTTGCTAAACTCTCTTAATAATTCTAATAATGAATCTATAGATTATTAGGAGTTTCCCATCTGGGTTTTCATATCATTGGCAAATAATGAGAGTTTTATTTTATCCTTTTTCATTCTTATATCTTTACTCTTCTTTTTCTTGTCTTGTTGAGTTGGCTAAAATCTTTATTGCAAACTTTATTTTGTTTCTGTGTTTAAAAGCAATACTTTTAATGTTTTGCCAATGATTAATGATGCTAATGCTGTACTTTTTAATTGATTTCCTTGATCAGGAAAATAAATACCTACTATTTCTAGTTTACTAAGAGGTTGGTTTTACTTTTCTAAAATACTGCATAAATATTGAATGTCATCTAATATTTTCTAGACCTTTTGAGATGAATATCTCTTTAAATCTCTAGTAAGCTAAGTGATATTAAGATATTTTCCAATACAACTTCTTAGAATAGAATCTTACTATTTAAAAAAAAAAAAACTTGGGTTTTTGTTTTCATCTGTATTCATGAATGAGACCGGCCTGTAAATTTTCTTTTCCACATTGTCCTTGTGCAGTTTCAGGATCCAGGCTTCTTCATCTCGTAAAATGAATCCTGGAGTGTTGCCTCTTCTACCAGCGTCTGTAAGAGTCTGAGTGAGTCTAGATTATCTGTTTCTAGCTATTGAATACATGATAGAATTCACCTGTATATTTGTTTGGGGCCAGTGTTTTCTTTCTGCTTCAATTTCATTAACGGTTATAAAACCATTCCCATTTTCTACTTTATGTAGAGGCCATTACTACCAGTTATATTTTTCTAAGAATTTGTCCATTTCACCTAAGAATACAAGTTTATTGGCATAAAGGTACTTACAACATTCCCCTCTTATCTTTTATCTTGTAGCTACCCCTTCTCATTCCTGATATTGTTGTACTGCCTTTGCTTTCCTGACCTGAAGCACGTTTGCAGAGCTCTGTTAATTACTTTGACTGTTGGCTCTATTTTCTTTTCTTTTCTATTTCATAAGTGTTGCCCTTGTCTTACAATTTCACTCATCACCTTAGTTTTTTCCTGGGGTTCTTTTTCTAACATCTTTAGTTGGCTACTTAATCCAATTTAATTATTTAATGTTCAGCCTTTCTCCTCTTCTAATACAAGCAATTTAAGGTTATAAATTTCCCTTAAATTTCTACTTTAGTTTTGAAATTTAGCATTTTTTACTGTTTTGATTTTAAAATATTTCTAATTCACATTATTATTTATATTTCAATCCTTTAGATATTTACAGAGCTGTTTTAAAATTTACAAATATATGGTTTTTAAAAAGTAGGTGTGGTTTTGTTATTGAGTTTTAGCATAATTGTTTTGTGATCAGATAATAAGCTCTGTTTGACACTAACTCATTGAAATTTGTTGAAAGTTGATTTATGATTTACAATGGTAGTCAATTCTTGATTTTTTTTGGTATATAAATATAAAAGAGTGGTTCTTTTTTTTAATTATTAAGTATAATATTTAAAATATGTCCATTAGGGCCGGCCGAGTGGTGTGTTGGTTAAGAACTGGCTTGGGATGCCAAAGGACCCTGGTTTGGATCCCACATATGAGGGCCAGTGACACTGCCCTCTACAGCTAAGATGCTGAACAACAGCTCGACCTGGAGTTGGGCTGCGGTGAGTCACCGGCGACGGCGTAGGCTACAGCCCCTGTGGCAGTGGGTTGCCATGGGCTACCGTGTGTAGCCAGCAGCCAGCGTGAGTGGCCAGCAGCCGCAGTGAGCAGCTGTCCAGAAGCCAGCGACTGATCTGCCTCACCCGGGAAGAGCGCAATGATGGTGCCAACTTGGGCCAGTGAAGCAACGTCCTCCACAACTAGACTGAAGAACAAAAGGACAGCAACTTGTCTGTTCCCCTTCCCCCGATTCCCCAGCGCTGTTCCCATCCCCCAATTCCCCAATAAAAAATCTTTAAAAAAATATATGTCCATTAGGTCAACCTTGTTAATTATTTTATTCATAATGATATTTTTAGAAAGGCACAGATTTGAGAAATTTACCTATCAAACTTCCTTAATTAGTAAATGATTAACAATGTGCTTCAGCAAACATGGGAATCAGCTAAGACAGAGGAAAGCCTAAGACCCTGGAAACAATGGCTCTCACTCAGGAAAGCAGTGACTCCCAGAGGCCATTTGTACAGCAGGTCTCATGAGCAGACAACACTCACGGTGGAGTCAGACATCGAGGGCTCCATGATGAAGACTTTCAGTAAAAAGCACAAGAGGCCCGATACCATCCTCAGGACTGGGGAAATTTGACCCAGAACAAACTCCTGTGTACCAAATATGCCAAAGCCAGAGTCCATTGGAGTTGAGGACTTGGAGTTTATCAGGTATCCAGAGCACATGGCCAAGGCTGCATGGGTTTGCCTCTGTGGAGTGGAGCCGGTGGAGAACGTGTAGACTGTGCGGAAGCTGACCACAGAGTCATTGGCCTGTGACTGGAGCAGAGGTCACACAGATAAATGCTGGCATCTCTAACCTCATCAAGGGTGGCCTCTAAGTCTCTAAAGCAAATGTACCTGGAGTGCACAGAAAGCTCCATGGGGTGATGGGAGAAACTCTGCAAACTTCTATTTATCTCATTCTTTTTATTTCTTGTGTGTGTGTGTGTGTGTGTGTGTGTGTGTGTGTGTATTCTAATGAACATAATAAATTAGTAAAGTAAGAAATGTATATGGGGGCGGCCAGATGGCTCAGTTGGTAAGAGTGTGAGTTCTGAAAAACAGGGCTGCCAGTTCAATTCCCACATGGGCCCATAAACGGTGCCAGTAAGCTGCGCCCTCTACAGCTAAGATTGTGAACAACGGCTGAAATGTATATGAATGTACACGTGTATGTATGTAAAAATACACAAACACACATAGAGTGCATGCATACTCAGGTATTTCTAGCATATAATTATAAATACTTGGAAACACAAGCCTGAGAAACAACAGGTATGTAGGGGAAAGGTAGTTCGACACCCTCCCAAAGTCAGGCAGAATAATGATAGCAGTTTGTTGCACAGGGATTGTGTGCCCCATGCTTTTAATTGATTCTTTCAGGTAATCCTCAAAACAACCTCAAAATGAGTTGTATTTTTCCTCTTATACAGATAAGAAAACAGGCTCAGAAAAGTTAAACAACCTGCCTCAAGTTACATAAGAAGTCACAAGTCCAGAATTCAGCTCAAGTAATTAGGCCACAGAGTACACGCTCTTTTCCACTAGCTTCAGCAGCCTCCCTTAGCTGAAGGTTCGCTTTACAAATTCCATCATTGCTACTTGTTATGGGTTGAATGGTGTCCCCTCAAAATTCATATGTTGGAGTCCTGATCCCTCATACCTCAGAATGTGAACTTATGTGGAAACAGGACCATTGCAGATGAAATCATTAGTTAAGATGAGGCCATACTGGATCGAGTAGGTCCCTAAGCGCAGGTGACAACCTGGACTTCTGCTTGGCATCGGATGGGGGTAGAGCAGCCTTGTGGGACTGAGTCCTTACTTGTGGGATCTGATGCTATTTCCAGGTAAATACGTAGGATCAGAATTGAGTTAAATTGTAGGATACCCAGCTGGTGTCTCAGAACTGTTTGGTGTGGGGAAATACCCCATGCATTTAGTGACTAGAAGTATCAGTGAAGTAGAGGAGACCCATAGAAGGACTGTAGGTCTTCCTAACACAAAAGGGAATTTAACTTCTCATCAGTGTGTGTTTACATGAAAGTGGCTTATTAGACAATGACTCTGTAGTCTTCTTTCAAAATACCCCATGTATATTATTCATTCTTCTGAAAGACTTAGAAAACAAAGCCTGGCTTTTCTGAGATGAAATAAATGATGTGACTTGAATTATTCTATTGACTAAATTATGAAACCACCTAAAACTACAAAATGTGGCAGTCAGGAACCATTTCTCCAGAATCTGATAATCTGGGGCCATGCCTCCTCTGTTTTGGGACATGTCACCCACACTCCTGGAGCCAAGCAGGAAACCCTTCAGTTAACACTGGCGCCGGCCTTGAGGACGCACAAGGGGTCTTGAGTACTGGTCAGAGCACAGCAGGATAATAACCCAATGTACTTATCTAGAGAATCCCACATTCTGCTTAAACATAGTGGAGTATATACAATATCATACCACCACTTTGTCCCCAAACCCCATTAAAATGACAGTCAAAAAATAAAAAAATATAAAAATCCACAAAGACAAAGGAAACCAAAGAGGAGACGACAGTGAATGATGAAAAGCAAGCAGAAGAGGGTAAATGACCCAGCAGAGGAAAGAGAATGGAAACCCAGGCCTGTGGACAGGGGAAGCCGGGAGTCTCAAAAATTAGAAAGATGTGACACTCAGAAGGTGGGGGTATGGGAAGGCGAGGAATCGGGCTAAAAATAGGAGAATTTTTTATTTTAATGTTATTGGGAAACAGTGTGTTTTTTCCAGGACCCATCAGCTCCAAGTGAAGTCATTGTTCTCAACCTAGTTGTGGAGGGCGCAGCTCGGCTGTAAGTCCAGTCACCGTTTTACTCTAGTTGCAGGGGGACAGCCCACCATGAATTGAGCCAGCAACCTTGTTGTTAAGAGCACACACTCTAACCAACTGAGCCATCCAGCCGCCCACCAGCAGCTCAGCGGCAGCTCAGCTCAAGTCGATGTCTTCAATCTAGTTGCAGAGGGCGCAGCTCATTGGCCCCGTGGGAATCGAACCGGCAACCTTGTTCAGAGCATGAGCTCTAACCAACTGAGCCGCACTGCTGCTCCAAGAGAATTTTTACCAGAATAACTCAGGAACATCAGGCACAGCTAGAACTGGAGGATTAATTGGTCATCTATTACGTTGAATAGTGAAACCTCCAGCCTTTCTCCATTTGGTTTCAAAAATGCAAGCAGGAGCCCTAAGGAAGGACCAGCAGCCTCGCCACAAGACTATCTCAGCAGCGCTTGATGGACTCCATGTCCTGCTTGGCCAGAAGGTTCACCCCAGGTGCCTGAAGACCCCCGTGGAGACCCTGTCAATCACTAACTGCCTGCTTTCAGAAACAGGCTTAACAACACCTGTCCCAGTGCCTGAATGCCAATCAGCTGAAGGACTGGAGTTTCACTGGGGTCAATCTGCGCCCCCCCCCGCAAGTTCTGATAGAGCCTCCGCCACCTCCAGGACCTGGACTTGGACAAATGTAGGATCATGGGCCCCAAGTTCAGTGCCATCTTGACCGCCCTGGGCCACTGCTCCCCTCAAGACCTACAGTTTCTGTGGAAACCTCATTTCCATGGCCGTCCTGGAAAACCTGCTGAGCCACGTGCTCTATCCCACCCCCCTGGGGAGTTAGAAGGATGCCCGCGGCACCCTCCACTTGGGCAGACTTGCACAGCTGCACACTAAGCTGAGGCAGATGCTGCAGCAGTGGGAGTGGCCTGGCATGGTGGTGCAGTGCCAGCCTCTGTCCTCACTGTGGTGACAGAGCATTCTATGACCCGGATCCCACTCTGCGTCCCTGTTATGTGTTTGTCTAGCTGGGTGCACATATCATAGGCTCTATTCTGGGCACTTGGACACTACATCCCAAACATAATTGCATCTTAAAGGAACATAGCAGCCACAGTTTCAGAAAACTGTTCCGTGTGAGCAGGAAAAGGAGAGGTGATTCAGGGGGTGGAGGGAAATGTTGACTTGAGGAGTTAATGGTTTCCTTAGGGAGATGCACTCTATAGAGTTAGGAACGTGAATCTGAATATCTAGAGGGGGATTCGGGCATGGCCCATAGACATGGGAGTTCCCCCTGCCTGAAGGGTTGTAAAGCAATGGTCAGAAACAACGGGAACCTCAGTGTTAAAAAATAGAGAGAAATGCAAGCAGAAGCTTATCCCCCTCCCCCACCCCAGGCAGGGAATTGGGAGATTCTCTGGGGCATACCAGTCAGCCCAAGAGAAAATAACCATTGCTACTAAACTTGGGGTTTTCCGCTAATGAAATGGCTGGGTCCCTGGCTGAAAACAAAACAAAACAAAAACCTACAGCAAAGCCTGTAGGTTTTCACTGCACTATAGGTTTGAATCCACTGTCACGTGGATTGAAAAACTCTGAAAAAATGTGCAGTCCAATCAATATTCAGGTGCCTCTGGCTTAAGTCCATGGGGGCCACTAGACATGTGAGGAAAGCCCCTAAAATCAGAGCCAGAGGCCAAAAGAAACAGAGAAAAGGAACTTGGGGGAAATAGACACAATGCAGAGGGAAACAAAATTATAAAAATAATTCTTAAAAAATGATAATTAATATGCCTGGAAACATAAGGAAATTTGGCAACCATGAATCAAGAAAATGATGTTACATATTTAAAAAGAAGGATTTTAAAAACAAGAGCAAGTTCTTGTAAAATACAATACAATTACAGATATATATATATATATATATATATATATAATGTAAATAAATATATGAAAAGTCTTCTTTGGCTCTGTCCCTGTCCCTCCTGCTTCCCTCTTTCATCTTATAAAAACCCTTGTGGTTACATGGAGACCACAAGATAATC